TCTAATGGTTTCTGAGGAATTTTACTGGAATGAATGAGCACAGAGTACAGAAGCAACAAAGCAGCATACTGCATTAAACCTGACCTTCACAGAGAGGTTGAAGTTCAAGTGGAGAGGAGGCTTCAGTAGTCTGTCTGCACTCTGTTTAGTTTTGCTATCTTACAATCAATATAGTAAATGTGAGGTAAAGTGTGTACCCAATGTAACCGGTTAGAACTCAAAGTTGCGATGAGGTCTTAAAATGTTTTGAAAGGGTCTTAAAAAAGGTCTTAAAAGGTATTAAATTTGACCTCAGGATTTCTGCATATACCCTGCCTCACCACACAGGGTTTCAGCTTCTTATAGTAATAACCTAATGCAGAGAATTGCATTTGGCTGCAGGATAACATCCCATGCGTGTCACTTGTTTCTGCGCAGTACATGCAGTGCCAAAACATTCCAGGCAACATTGAGCTGACGGTGAACATCCTCACGATGGGTTACTGGCCAACCTATGTCCCCATGGAAGTGCACCTGCCTGCTGAGGTCAGTGCTGCTGAGCAAATAGCGATATCTTTTGGAAACATACTGTTTTTACAATTTGCCGTGCAATAAATCTAGTGAGTGTTGCTCTGTAACGCCTCGGTTATCTTTGTCCAGATGGTGCGACTACAGGAGATCTTCAAGACTTTCTACCTGGGCAAACACAGCGGCAGGAAGCTGCAGTGGCAATCTACACTCGGCCATTGTGTCTTAAAAGCTGAATATAAAGAGGTACATCACTGAAGCCTCTTTCCCACTTAACAAAAAACCCACCTTTATCTGGCTTTTGACTTCATTGGGAAATGTAACAGTCAGACAAATGAAGATGATGGAAACATTACACGCTCATATTTACCCCTTTTTTTGGCACGTTTTGGCACCATTTTGTTGTTTACTGCCAATGATAAGAAAGTCTAATTGCCTATTTTGAGCTTATTTTATGTGTTTTGAAAACTTGCATATGCCCTAATTTTGGTTATAATATAGGATGCTCTGGTGTTTTGCTCACTCAGTGAATAAAGCTTAATGTTAAAACACACTTCACTCAATCTAAACCACACCTGCTGAGACAAATAAAGGCTTTCTGATTCTGATTTATTTCTTCTCTTGGATTTTTCTTACAAAAGGGCAAGAAGGAGCTGCAGGTGTCCCTCTTCCAAACGCTTGTGCTGCTGATGTTCAACGAAGGAGAGGAGTTCACACTGGAGGAGATCAAACTAGCAACCGGAATAGGTTTGTGTTATCCCATTCACATCAAAGTTTGGTTGGCAGCACTTCCATGAAGAAATAATTACAATAGTCAAGCACTCGTGATGCAGCACCACTGATGTAAAACACTGTCCCTGTGTGTGTCGGTTTACAGAGGACAGTGAACTGCGCCGGACTCTGCAGTCACTTGCTTGTGGGAAGGCACGTGTCATCACCAAAATCCCAAAAAGCAAAGATGTGGAGGATGGGGACAAGTTTTCTTGCAATGATGACTTCAGACACAAGCTCTTCAGGATCAAAATAAACCAGATCCAGATGAAAGAAACGGTATGATACTATCTCACCGTACTTTCCTCCTTTCATAGTATTTGATGAAGTATTTGAACTGAGTGTCTTCCCTCAGGTGGAGGAGCAAGCCAGTACCACAGAAAGGGTCTATCAGGATCGTCAGTATCAGATTGATGCTGCCATCGTGCGGATCATGAAGATGAGGAAGACTCTGAGCCATAATCTCTTGATGTCTGAAGTGTACAACCAGCTCAAGTTCCCTGTCAAGGTGATTAACACAACACTGGATCTCTTTTATTAACAAACATGTTCTAATTGGTATATCTGGGTTGATATGAGTGTTCTAAATAATGTTATCCCTGTATCTGTTGGGTTATTATCTAATTGGTGTACTTGCTTTATCATAAGCAGAGTCACAGGGTTTATTTTGTTATGAGTCATTTAAAACCAGCTGTTTTGCTTTCCATTTTTTACCAGAATGATATTATTATGACTATATAAAGTAATATTTATAAAGTAACTTTTCAGACACACACAACTTGTTTTTGTGGGTCAGGTCAGTACTGAAGTTTGAGAGTTTCATTCCTTAAATCCTAAAGAATGTTGACTTTATTATGTACCTAGAGCAGGGGTGTCAAACTCAAATACACAGTGGGCCAACATTTAAAAATGGGTACTAGTCGAGGGCCGGACTGGTTCAATGTTTATTGCAAAACGTATTGAAATGAACTTATTGCACATATTAAACCTGGGACTAACAAAGCTTAAATTATTGCCTATAAAAACAACATTAAACATGAAATAATCAGTTGCATTTATTACCTATGGCTCTATCTGCAGCTTTTCCAGAGTCATTTCTTATGATCACATTTTTCCACAGGCCAACAACAGCTTCAAAAAAACAATTTCCCTCCAAAGAAAAAAACAAACATGCCCTGTTGTCGCAAAAAAAGTGCAACAGGAAACATCCATTTAAACTCAGTTTGCTGCTGTGATACTAGTTCAAGCCAGACACTTGGCATCTCATCTTGGGTGCAAGTTCATCAATGTTTGGGGTCAGGCAATATACCGGCGGGCCAGATCTAATAGTAATTAGAAATGATCCTGCGGGCCGAAATGTAATCCACCAAGGGCCTGATTTGGCCCCCTGGCCTTGAGTTTGACACATTTGACCTAGAGGGGCATTTTATTGGTAAATATTGTTTAGTTGCTGTGGTGGACAAACCAAGAAACTGAGAAACGGTTTCTAAATGCACTTAGAAATCGTTTTACTGCTATTTTTGGTTACTTAACAGCTGAACAATTAATCAATAACTGCATCATTGAATGGTATATTCAGATTTTCTGTCATTTTCTACCACTCCAAAGGCTGACAATAGTGTCTGATAGGTAATAATGTTTGATAGGTTGTGGACAAATCTACTGAAATCAGATCCAAACTGGTTTGTACAAGAAAATACTTTTTTTTAATAGTCATTTACCCTGGGAAGATGGCTTGTCTTGCATTAATCTTCTTGTCACTGTAACAACCTCAAAGTATAAAAACAAGCAGATATACTGGCATGTGCCTCGTGTGTTAACCTTTACCTGCTCTCTGTCCTGTCTTTTCTTTCAGCCTGCTGACTTGAAGAAGAGGATAGAGTCTCTTATTGACAGGGACTATATGGAGCGTGACAAGGAGAACCCCAACCAGTACAACTATGTGGCTTAGAGAGAGAAAAAGTGACTGAGAAAAAGAGATGCAGATGGTCCATTCAGGCTGAGGTCTCTTTTGCTCCAGTGGATGTAAACCATTATCATCTTCAACCCAGCGGCCGACAAGTGAATGGATACTGCTCCACAGGATTCTTTTGTCAGGGTTCTTGTGATCCTGTGGACTGCATGCCCATCGAAAAGAGAGTATTGTCCGTATTTCTCAGTGCCTCTGAGAGAGTTGGGCTACCGTGGAAAGACGAAGAAAACACACAGATGTTGTTCCGTTTGCTCTTTTTTTTTTAATGGAGAGGAAAAAATATTTATTTTCAAACTTAGATTATTCTTTGTTCATAGTTTGAATCAATATGCTCTTTGTTATTAAGTCACTTTTTGTCTTTCTGTTCACTCAGTATCCCAAACAAATGCAGACACTTCACAATGCCCTAAATGTAGTACAGATTGGAGAGGAACAAGGGAGAAACCGACTTTTTTCTTTAGTTAGTGTCAAATTTGGGACTATTGGTTTAACATTTATAGTAGAGAGTTGCCAATTGGGTAAAATCTGTGTCAAATGTGTCCTCCTGCAGCAAAGTTTTTTTTTAAGGCCATGTAGCCATCTGATAAAGCTGTGATCATGAACAACACACAAAGCGTTCAAAGCAGAGTTTGTGCCAAAAAAAGCACTTATTTTGTTGTAGGGTGTACTAAAGCTGCTAAAACACTTCAGTTGTAAAGACAATGCATTTAAGTTTCTTGTTTCTTCTGTCTTTGTACATACTCCACAAAAGTGACATTTTAAATGATCTCATCCGACACTGTCAACTGCTTTTTAGGTTTTTGTTAACCCTTAGAAAGTATACTAAAAGCACAATGACTTCAGATCCCATTTTCCCATCTTCTGCGGAGTCATACCACATACACACTATATTTTTTTGTATGTCCCTGTGTGGCTTGCAGGCCTTGCTGAAAAATGAGGGGATTGGAGGGGATTGCCTCAACACTTGAGGAAGAATATGATTGAGTAAACATGCCCTTGTTTGTATGAGTATGTTAGATTTATTGCTACAGATTAAAATAACTGTTTTAATCAGGTTTTTCTTTTTGTTAAATGGTTTCCAGAGTTAGAAGAAACACTGAAATTCTCACCGGAAAAAAAGTAGCAATACCACAATGCTAAAATACTCTGTTACAAGTAAAATTCATGCCTTCCAAATGTTACTTGACTAAAAGTACTAGTGCCCAAATAAACGTTAATTTCCTAAGAAAAGTACTTATGTGGAATGGCCTATTTCAGAATAATATGTATCAATGGATTATGATTATTAATGCATGAATGGGTTCATCACTTTGATTTTGGTAAAGGTGGATGTTTATAATATTTGAACTTCTGTATACATGTTCTAATAACAAAGGCCTAAATCAATACATCATAAATAATTAGTTTATTAATATTAGTACAATTCTCAATCGGCGAGATTGAGTAGTAGCATATAATATGTTATTGTAATAGAAGTATGAAATGGGAATACTCAAGTAAAGTTCAAGTCCCTCAAAATGGTACAATACCGCAGTAAAATGTAGGCCTATTTTGTAACATTCCGTCACTGTTAATTTCCAATCACATGAAAGCAGCCCATTAGTACGCATTTTTTCAGCCGGACGCCTTCACATTCCCGTGAGCCTTTTAAAACTTTATGATCATTAACTGGGTAAAAGGAGGAGATTTTAAGCTAAACCAGTTCAAACACCTCCTTCTGGTTTGAGACTGTCATATGACTCATTTCCTGGTACAGTCTGTGCCTCAGATCCCAAACACCGCTGACTGAGCGTCACTGTCGGGTTATTTTGTTCCATCTCCTCTCCTGTGGCTGACACTCCGACACTACTCTGCGAAGATGTACCGATGTGCTACATTCGTTGTGTTTCTCGTCCTTGGAATTGGTACGTAACGTCACCTTCATTTGTATTTAAATCGAAAGTAAAAACTGAGAAATATAAAAGGTTTTTTGGAACTGCTGCGATTAATGGTAAACTTATAACACTAGCCTGGGCCTGGTGCTTCCGTGCAGAGGCTAAGTGCTGCTCTGTTAAAAAACGAGATCGAAAATATGTCGTAATTGTCTGGTCTTCAGTTGAATTTATTTACATTTTCTTTAAGGGTGCCGTAAAATGAAATCACCACTATTCGAGGTGCAGTCCAGGCAGTCGTGATGTTCTAGCTCGATTGCTAATTGTTACCTACGTCAACAACATCTAACTGGAAACCCGCAAAGTCGCTATTAAAAGCTCAATAAACTATATTTAGCCTCAGATTTGTATTTCATATTATCATGCCAACGTATTAAAAACATATTGAAAGTGATTATAATTTCACCTTTAACGCTGTACTGCCTTCCCACAATGTTTTAGCCAAATTAGCGGTTAGCTTACTCGTTAGATAACAGTTGTTTTGAAGATGAGTTAATGATAAAATCATGAGTCATGTCTGCTGCTAAACAAGGTTAGCCACACACCAATGTTATTTGGGTAAACTGGCACTTTAAAACAAGTAGGCAACAGAACATGCATCAACAAAATCCTAAAGGGCTAAAATAGTTAGCATTAGCAACGGTTATGCAGTTTACAGTAAGTTAGCACGTGACAGTAACACTGAGCTAACGTCATTATGTAGTTAGGAAACTGGCTTAACTTAAAATCAATGTAGTTACATAACATTAAATAGATAGAAAGATATATAGATACTTTATTCATCCCAGATTTGAAAATTATTCAGTTATGCCATCAATGTTTTCAGGCACTAAAATATTTCAAAGGTGGAATATTGTATAATCATAATAAAATTAAAATGAACAGCACATATCTGCAGTAGAAAATACGTATATCAGAATTAGAATAAATGAATTCGTCCCACTGAGGGGAAATGTACATTTGTTACAGCAAGTAAAGAGCCAAAGATAGCTCAATTATGAATTTAAGAAGCATGCATACAAATATTAACGATAAAAGTAGACATTTTACAAAATACATATACATATTTACAGTTATATTTGTATATATAGCAGTTTTTTATGGTATGTATACATATATTGCACATACAGTAGGTAGTATTGCATAACAGGGTTGTTATAGTCTTTGTTGTTATATGTGTGTGGGGGTCTACCATATATCGCAAATAATACCCAATATAAAATATTCTGTATATGGTGGAATGTTCTGTTAAAGACCAATATATTATAGCAGACATATCAGATTGGAAAGTATATACATTACTGTACATTACAGTTGTGCAATGTAGCTGTACATTTCTCATGGTTATGGAGAGGGAGAAACTAAAACTATGGAGCAGTGAGTTATCTGCCAGCCAGAGTTGATGTGTTGTATGAGGACTTTTATCTAGGTTTCTAGTGGAAATATTTTCGTTATACATTATAACACGTTTAAAAAGGCGCTTGTATAAACCTTTCCCCATTAGACAGGCTCACAACATTTGAGAAATCTGTGTGAGAGAAAGGATGTACCAATTGTTAGTCAGATAGCTTCAGGTGATGTGAGAGTTAGGCCTATGTCTCTAGTTACAACTCAGCCCTTCAGTAATGATACTGTTTTATTACAGCGAGATAAGACCTGTTTGAGTTGATGTCAGTGCTTTATACTTTTATAATACATCGAGCTGCTGTTGAATTGATGACGATGCTTACTGCTAAAACCATATCGTAATGGACCTTGGCCTCTCTTCTGTTAAATGTTATACTAATTCTCAGAGTATGTAGAATGATACAAGATCTTATTGCAAGTATGACTAAAAATGTTGTTTGGGAGTATTGTGTCATCATAAAATATTACTTTATTGTTTTCTAGTCCACTGAGGTCGACCTGGGTTAATATGATTCTTCAACTCATAAAAATAGCTCTTAAAAACACTTATGTGAAAATGTAAATTCCATTGGCTCTGCTCGTTATCCAATGCCTGATAGAGGATGCAGGTACTCGTGGTGTTTGTTTTTCTGAAAATACGTGGCTTCTTAGTCTCTATAGTATATTTGAGGTGTCCACGAGTGCCCACTAACTTTAGATTTACTGAAGATATTAAACTATTGAATTACAGCTGGATTAATAATCATTAGAATATAAGAAATAATAGTATTTTTTCTTTTTCTTTCAGCGGTCCAGCTGTCAAACGGCACTGAGGTCAATGTCAAAGACAAAGACAACAATTTATGCCTCTATGCTAAATTAATGGTCAACTTCAGAGTCTCCTATGAAGTCGCCGTCAATGAGGTGAGTGTGTTGTTTTGGTCACAATAACCTCAAGATGACTATGTTTGGTATATTTAGTACATCAGGTTACACAGTGTTATTGTGAAGTAACTTTAGCAGCTCAGCTCTTATCAGCACGCCTCAGAGAACACTCGTCTGAGCTCTGTCTTCACGGAAAGGGGAAATGAGGGAAGGCCCTACAAAAGAGATAGATTCTTGCAATTCAGCATTTCAGTTACTGAGTTTTCCTGCATGGATATCCTGCAATTGTTAAGTCCTGTCTTTCAAAACTAGTTCCCTTTGGGCAGTTTTTCTTCTCTACACTGAAAACGTGACTACTTTAATTGATCTTTCTTATCAGCTGGCCTATAAAAGTATTGTATTTCATGTCATGTTTACAGGGGAAGTGTTTAAGTTGATGAGGAACTGGTTATCAAATACGTTTAATTGAAGCTTCAAAATCGTTAACTCTTTTCAATTTTTTTATTTAGATGTTTGTTAGGACAATAAAAATGTGTATTCAAATAAAGCAAAAAAACCACAACTAAAGAAGCAGACACTATTGCATGAATTAAAAGAATACCGTTCCGAGTTTATCTGTCCAAGTAACTAAAACTCTCATGAGTTTAGTCTCTTTAAAGATAGCTTTTAATCAGTTTGACATCAAACTTGTATAATTAATTTAAATATTGTCACTCTTTACTCTCTGTCAGGTCTTAACAGCAGAGTTTGAACTCCCTGCCAGTGTCGCATCAGATGGAAGTACATGTGATAGCACAAGCTCAATGTTTAAGCTTAATTTTGGAGAAGGACACTCATGGAGTGTAAACTTCACCAGAGAAGGAAAAATCTACCAGGTAGACACCATCACCTTTTCCTACAACCTCAGCGACGCAAGCATCTTCCCTAACTCCACATCAACCGGTAACTTCTACACCACACAGTGCAAACAAAAAGACACATAACAATGAATAAACAATGATCACAGTCTTTGATCTGATGCTGATGTGTTTTCTGAATTTCTTATAGAAACCACAACAATCTATGTGAAGCCTGAAATCAAAGATGTAGGAGTGGACACCTTCTACTCATGCCAGAGTGAAGACACGTACGAAACTGATTCGGTCCGTCAGACGCTGCGGAACGTGCTCATACAGGCTTTTGTCATTAACAACAGCACAAGTGAAAACAGTAAGCACAGATTGACTTTTCAGGGTTACATTAAAAATCATCACACCACAGCAGCTGGTGGAAAGGCAAGGGGAGGAAACTGTAGGGAACATATCAAATCTGTCTGTCGCTTTGCTGTTCCATAGCACAAAAGCTATCACCTAATTTCATAACACTGTCTCTTCAAAGTCCTGATGCTTATAATGATATGTGATTTTAGTCTAAGATCTTATCAAGTCAAGTATTTCTTTAATGCGATTGCATAATATCATTTGATCAGGTTATCCACTGCAGGCAAAATACCTGGCAGGCTTGGTGGTGTAACGATTTTATCCACCTGCGAAATGAAGGGATGTGGTTAATGACAAAAAAAATATTTAATCTGTTGAGTTTAAATGTTTTAGATCTCGCTAAATATATGATTTCATAATCTGAGCATAAATATAAAATAACCCGGAGATGTACAACTTCAATCTGGAAAATATTTAGTTTTTACTTGTATAATAACCCCGAGCATTTCTATCCTGCCCTTGGAGAGGACCGAGTTCGCCTCCTGGGCCCTGCCGTGGTGCCCCTGAGCAAGGCACCGGACCACCCCCCCACCCCCCCTCACTCCCCATTGCTCCCCGGGCGCTGTACAATAGCTGCCCACTGCTCCTAGTACTAGACTCCTACTAGGATGGGTAAAAAGCAGAGAACAAATGTCACTGTGTTCTGTGTGCTCTGCATGTGTGACCATTAAAGAGGGTTTCATCCCTCCCAATATTATTACATCTCATCATGACTCAAGCATTCTCTCCCTGGTTTACATTAATGTTCTATTCTCTCACACAGTTACTCTCTGTGCTGCCGATGTACCAACAACTCCTGCTGCTCTCATCGCTATCGTCCTCCCCACTACCACCACTACCGTCCCCACCCCCACTACCACCACTACTGCTCCCACCACTACCGTCCCCCCCACTACCACCACTACTGCTCCCACCACTACCGTCCCCCCCACTACCACCACCGAGGCTCCCGTCACCAATTCTACCACCACCGATGCTCCCGTCACCAATTCTACCACCACCGATGCTCCCGTCACCAATTCCACTACCACTGCTCCTCCTCCGACACCCACCCCGACCCCCACCCTCCCTGCACCCACCACTGGGAAGTACAAGCTCCAGCCTGATGTCAACAGCACGGCCTGCCTGCTGGCCGACTTTGGCCTGCGGTTTAAAATCAAAGATGAAGAGGTATGTTCATTGATGCAGAATTACAAGGTTCAGGTTATTTAATTGTACCCGTAGGTAGATTTGGCTAACAGATAGAAGACAAGGGATCCATTATGACACGCATTTGAAAACAACACAGACATAGTAAAAAAGGTACCACATCTAAAAACACTTTAAAAACATTTTAAAATCCACTTGTACAAATATGAGCAATCCAGAGTGCAAATGATCAATTGAAGTAGGGCTACTCAATTAATCGTATTTTAATCGCAATTACGATTTTGGCTTGCAACGATTATGAAAACAACATAATCGAAATAAAACGATTATTTTATTATTTTATTGGTTTTTCAATTGAATTATACTTAAAGGTGGGGTAGGTAATTTCGGAGAATCCAGCTCGAGTGCGCTATAATTTGAAAATACACAACCGGAGAAAATCTGCCACTTCCTTACAGAGCCCCTCCTCCAACACACACGAACGCGCACATGACCAATGAGGGCACGAGATAAGTTTGTGCACAGATGGAAGGCTGAAAGGCAGCTAGGCCATCCAGTTATTTTACCCGGGCCGGCTAAAATGATTGGTCGTGCTTTTTACAGTACTGCGGCTTTTTTTTATGGATTTTTTTGTCAAAGCACTTCAGATATTCATTGCCATCGGGATGTTAAGAGCATTCCATGGAATATATCAAAAAGTGTATCTCGAGCCGGTTTCTCAAACTTACCTACCCCACCTTTAAAGTTCAGGGTAATTAACTGTTAAAAACACACTGTTCAAATATTGTTTTTCAATATATGGATGTTTTCAAAGTAAATGGATAATCGTTTTTAATAATCGTGATATCAATTGTTGACCCAAATAATCAATATTATGATTTTTGCCTTAATCGAGCAGCCCTACATTGAAGTACAAACATCTTGTATAAATCTATAGAACATACAAATAATATGTATTAAATGGATATAAGGGGAGAAAGGAATAAGCATAGTAAGACATGGAAGAGGATGTGTCGTTTTTTTTTAATTAAGGTGTTTAAGGTCAACGTTAAGGTCAATAATGCATTTGCAATACAGACAAATGCATGAAATACTTATGTGTAATGAGTTTGCTGGGTAATCTTGTTTTGCTTTCTTACTATTCTTATCTGTTTTTACATGTTCAGAGTAAAAGTCTAATCCAGTCCTTTTGCTGATTTGAGTGTTTCCTCCACCCTTATTGTCCCCAGATGAACTTTGAGCCTAATGGGACCGCAGTCACTGGAAAATGTGAGATGAACAGCAGTGAGCTGGTGTTGACGTCCAGCACAGTAACCATCAAGTTCACTTTCACCAATGTAAGTCGGATAGATTTTAGAATAATGATAACTAAGAATTGACTGTCTTGTCAAATTATTTAAAGTTCACATTGCTTTTATCCAGCCAGCTAGTTTATATGTGCTCTTATGTTGTTTAGGGTTTAAGCTGGTTAAGGTGTAGTTGAAAAGTTGCTGATTATGGTGACAATTAATACACTAAAATTCCATTCACACCAATTTGTGTGTTTTTAATCTAGTCATAAACACGTGTATGTATTAGTAATGCATATTTTGATTATCAGTTGATCACTTATCTCTGAAAAAGAAAAAGGTGAACGGTTGTGAACAGGCTTTCCTAATGGCTAACTCAGTGTTCACCTTTTCGTGTTTGAAAGCGTTCCTAGGGGGGATTATAGTGGGACATAATTATTTTTGACGCATATTTTCGTCTTTTCAGGATACCAAGAAATTCCGCCTTCATGCTCTGAACGTCACAGGAAAGACAAGCTCCGGTAATTTTAAGCCTCATCTACCCACATAAACCAGACCCCACACCGAGAGGCAAGCTTACGTTGACGTTATCTTTCTGTGTTTCTTTTAAGGTGTGGAGTTTTCTACCGCCAACACTAACCTGACTCTGTGGGAGGCGACCATCGGCAGCTCCTACATGTGTAACAAGGAGCAGAACTACACCATCAACGCTGATCTCAGCATCTACACCTTCGAACTCAGAGTGCAGCCCCTTGCAGTAGAGAAGGGCATCTTCAGCACAGGTAGGTTATTCTCTAATTCTCTAATTTAAAGTCATATAGTGGAGAAAAGGCTAATTCTGGTAAAAAACAACAGGATGATCTTCTTAGTTTGTACAAGCGCTACTTACAGTATTTCAGTTAAAAGGTTATTTATTCAGAATAGTCTATGTCTGGTCATATGATCATACATTTTTGGATGGTAAATAGAAATGGTATGCGGAACATTTTATTTACAGTATACAAATAGAGATTATTATATTTGTTAAATTACAAGTGGCACAACAATCACTGTAATGCAGCGTCCACACAGCGGCGTGCGTTGAAGCTTGCCGGTGGGCGTGTCTGAAACTCCACCAACAACCAATCACATAAATCTCCCGCCCCGGACACACGAGCATGCGGTTTGATTGGCTAGAGCTTGTTCTGGCATATGATTTGATTGGCTGACGCTTCCGTCGAAGCTTCAAAAGTTTAACATTGCTCAACTTTTGAAGCGAGCAACGCGAGCCAAGCGAAGCGACGGAACCACAATGCAGTTCGGCAAAGCGTGACATCACCCCATTAAAAGTGAATGGGAAGAAATGTTGAAGCTTCAATGCACGCCGCCGTGCGGACGGGCCGTTGGATGATCTCAATTTGGTTTAATCAGATGTTTAACACTTCGGATAGTTTTTTCAAAGACGAAATTACGTTTTTTTTTTATGACCTCAAAGCAAGTCTCAGACTGTTACAACATTTTTAAGAAATTTGAAAATATTTTGTGACCCCGCCCATCAGATTTTTTCCACTGGACAGATTTTTTTATTTTGGATCCACTGGTTTAAATCCTCAGAGACAATCCCATTTCTAATCAAGTCCATCCTAGACTAATGTCAATCTTCTTCATCCAACCTACCTCCTGCAGCCCATCTCCATTTATAAAAAGTGCATCTATCATGCCATCCCAATTCATTTAAATAATCAGTGTGTAATGTGACACCTTTAACGTGTTTCAGATGAAATGTTGTGTTTAAGCACAGCTGATCCTGCTGCTGTGTTGTTAATCAGAAAATCACTCCTTCACGTGTTGACCTACTCTCTTTTCATCTGCAGCTCATGAATGTTCATTGGATGACACCAGCATCCTAATCCCAATCATTGTTGGCGCTGCTCTGGCCGGCTTGATTCTCATTGTTGTGATCGCTTACATGATTGGTCGAAGAAAGACTTATGTTGGATATCAGACCCTATAAATCCAGATTGCAATCAAAATCACGGGGTTCCCAAGCCTGGTCCTTGGGGTTCATGTGCAATTGTTGAATTGGCAAATAACGATCAAAGAAATCCAAAACTAAAGTCTCAGCTTGGATAACATTAGATGCAGTATTGAAGTTATTGGTCGTTATGACACTTGAAATGCAAATGGGTATATTTTTTAATTGCAGTATCCTAATCGGTCTTTAATACTAGAATCCGGACTGAGATAAAAATGGAGCGTTTGGTGTTTTTCTCAAGGACCAAGCTTGTCTACCCCAAATGTTCTTTTTTGTTTTCAAGATGTTTTGTCTTTCCTTTTTTGTTGTGTTGTTTTGTTATTGAGCAAGTGCAAAATCCACAAACCTTTAGCTACATTTCATAGTCAAATCCAACACAATATACAAAATATAAAGCTCCTATACTGGTACAGTGCTACATTTCAAATAGTCCCTGCACATTAATTTTAACGCATTCTCCAGATGCATGAGAACGTTTCAAATGAGGATTCTGCCCTTGCTCTACAGGCATTCCCTTTTTGATTTCATTTGTCATTATTTAATCTTTGTGCACATTTTTTGTTTTTACTTCCGTTATGGTTCGATGTTTCATCCCCATGTTTATTTACATAAGACATAAAAGAACGTTCATTTTCAACATTTCATTCACAAATTAAAGAAAGATGGTCGATCAGCTTTTCTTTCTCTGTTCCCAGAAACTCCTTCAGAGGGATGAAGGTCTAGTCTATTTTCAAAGTAGTCAAGGGAAATGTAGCCCATGTTTTCCCCTGTAGAGCAGGAGGAACTTTGGATTGTCCTGATTATGTTGCTACAATCATCAGATGGTCAAATTAAAGTGTTTGTTGATTAAATCTAAATTGACCTTTTTGAATGGAGGACATTTTGGTTTCCAAGGTGGCACTAATGACCCTAACGATGGCTCATTGGCATTAAAGTGCATAGACAGGTCATCGTTTGTGGTATTAATTACACCTGTGCTTTTCCTGCTGTATCAAACATGTTTTCAGAGGTCTCTTAAATTTGCACACGCTCCAGTCAGAGAATAGAAAGCGCACTTGTTTTATTTTCTTACAGAATACATTTTGGCATTAGGTTTAGAAAAGGGAAAGTTTGTTGTGTAGATATTCCCCATCATGAAGATATCTACATTTAAATGCACTAAAGCGCTCTTTACTTTTTTGCATTATGTTGTGACATTATCTAATCTGTGTATAGATTTGAGGGCTGCCGCTGGATCAGGGCGACGTTAAAAACCCCTGAAGACATTGATTTGAATCTTGAGCATTCCTCTGTAACGTTGAATGTTCATGACTGAACAAATACCGTTCAAACAAAATGTCCTAAAGTTTTATTCATGAGTAGTTTATTACAATAGTTTGATATTTTCTTAAATATGTTCTTGCTTTCAGAGAGTTAGATTACAATAATTGCACCGTCTGTATTCAATATGTAGCAGGAGACGGTTAGCTTAGCACAAAGAGATGAAACAGTTCAGAAGAGCTAGCCTGGTTCTGTCCAGAGGAAGCTACTAAAAAGTCACTCAGAAAGCACATCACTTCTACCAAAGCCGCTCCCTTTAGTGAAAATGAATGCGTGTTTCCAAAAAAAGTAATAGTTTGTTCCTTGGCCAACGCTGCATGTTCCTACCGAGTCACAGGCCAGTCGTTTTTTCTGTGAAAGATAATTTAACCAATCTGAGAAACAGAATTTTGGTGAAGGTAAACCTGCCTACTGGAACATCTAAAGCTTACTTTTTATGTATTAAAATGTTTATTAAGAGTGGCATTGACCCTCTCATCTAACTCCCTGTACAAAAGCACAAAGGGTATTTCCCAAAATGTCAAACTATTCCTTAAAATGTTGTTCTTATCCAATCCATCATCTCTTGGTGCGGTTTGATCCGAGAAAAAACAAGCCCTCATTTGTCAAAAAAAAAAAGGATTAAAGAACCACTGAAGTATGTGATGTGATCTCATGTCAAATAGACACAAAGCGTTGGCATCGTGTTTCATGTAGTCCCTCGTAGAAAGAAGCTGAGAGCAGGTTTTCAGGCGCTTGAAGGTGAGGGAATGAGTGCAGAGTGCAGTGATGCAGAATCAGGGACAGAGGAAAGCCCCAGAATGTGTGTTTCTTTAATAATAGAAAGCCAAGGTTACACATGGCATTAGCTGTGTGTTGTTGCTTAATTCTAGCATCTAGTGTTGTGTACTGTTGGCTTTGTCCCAGCTCTTCAGAACTGGAGCAGAGCAGACGGTGAACCGCACTGAATACGAGTTTTTCTTTTTAAAGTTGCTTCCAAGTGATTGTACATGTGTACGAGGAATCGCTCCTAATCAGATATGAGCTTTCATTTTTGCTTGTGATTGTCTTGATGTATTTCAGCTTTGTATGAACTCAGTTGCCTTAATTACAAAGATGGTTTTGCAGCAATGGTATAAATGTCAAACTGTTTCTCAAGGTTAGTCTCTCTTGTTCTTAATAGCAGATTCATTATAATTATAGCTGTGCCTTGCTCAGTGATAGCTTTCTGTTTTGTTCATTCAGTTACTCAAACTATATATATATACATATATATTTTTGGCTTCACCAGTGGAGTACATTGTTCAGTAAAAGGGAATTTGTGCTGCAAGACCATCTTGTTTAAGATCAATTCATGTGTTTTTGTGGATACATTTCATCTCCATTCTCTCACACTGTTACAGATATAATTCATTGTATTTCAAATTGTGTGTCAGACTGAAGTGAAGCTTTTTAGTCTTTTAAGTTTCAAGGAAATAAAAGTGTTGCTGCCCTGGACGCCTGAGTACATATTTATTCCTTTTCTTAAACTGTCACTGCTTTAAATACTTCTTCAGGTTTCCTCTTTCCTTCAGCTGGTGTAACTATTATTTATTTTGGTTCCTCTGTTGCGAGACGTTCACCTCTCTGCTCTCTTCACTCCCGTCTAGCTGAGGATTGCCAGGCTGACGGGGACAGCTTCCTTGTTCCCATAGCTGTCGGAGTTTCCCTGCTTGTTCTCATTCTTATCGTTCTGCTGGCCTATTTCATCGGGAGAAAGAGAAACATGACCGTCGGCTACGAGTCTTTCTAGTTTAACTCTCCTCATTCAGATCTTAAACACTTAATCTCTGCCTTTGTCTTCAAATGTGTTGTCATTTCCATGTAGTGTTTAGTGCTGTTGTCTGCCTGACCGTATTGGTGAAAGAATGGTAAGGTGTTTTGGGAAATGTTAAATAGATAGATTTGTAAGGTTAATTTGAAGTTTAGAAACAGACTCAACATGTTATCTAATGTGTCTTTAAGTTGAAAATCAGTGATGTAAAAATAAAATGTGGACTTATTACTGGCAACCTTAAATATAGTCTTGCATAGCATTTCATAATTGGATAACAGCTGTTAATGTACTGAATATATCAAAGTCTAATAATATGAAGAATAGTTTCACGGTGCTGACGCTGCAGAAAAGTGTTTTAATTTTTGCACATTTCCTAAAATGTCTGACTATTCTTTTACGATTTGGTTTTTGCTCATCCTGCCTGACATGAATGTTCAACAAGTAATAACCACTTGAGTGATTTCCTTGTTGTGTTCTTTGAATATCTATTAACCATGACCTCTAATCTGATACACTTTTGTAGGTTTCTTGCTGCTCTGCCTTCTTTTTGAACTGTAAATCACCTAAATCTCTGTCTGAATAACATTTCCTGCTGACTGAACCACTAACCTGCTGTCTGTCTGTCTCTCTGTCTGTCTGTCAGCTGAGGAATGCTTCCTGGACTCTGATTTGAGTTTTTTGGTGCCCATTGCAGTGGGCGTGGCGCTCAGCTTCCTAATCATCCTTGTGCTTATCTCTTACCTGATTGGCCGGAGGAAGAGTCGCACTGGCTACCAGTCTGTATAATTCAACCTTGCTTCTTCTTCCTCTTCCTCTCACTTCCTCTCCACCCTTACTTCCCCTAAAAACACCTTCCCTGCCCATCAGTGCATCGAAAGCGCCTCAAACTTCCTGCTCATTTCAGTTTTACCTAAAAGAAATCCTTTAACTTATTTCTCGTAAAACTTTATCCCAGCAACCAACTCCCGATGGTTTCCTTTTTTTTTGCTTTAAAGCCAATAACTAAATCAAGTACCAAAACGTTTATAATCAATATTGCATTGTTTGATTGTAGATTGCATGTTTTAAAAATTACATTTACGGCTTCGAGTAGCTGTCCACCTCCTGCCCCCCCCCCCTCCTCCTTCTGAGAGGCTTTTTCCCTCTCGGTTTCTGTGCTGTATAATAATAATAATAATACTATATGTGTAAATGACTCTCTTGTATAGAATGATTGATTTTTGATGATGTGAATGTAATGAGCAAGCTCCACTATTGTTATTCACATCCCAGGCTCTGCTGTTTTAACGTCATTTAAACTGAATCAAACACTTCCTGTTGCTCATACAGTCACATAATTGTAGTTTGATGAAAGGGACACTAACTAAGACACTTTACCAGCAATGGGACCAGTTTGTTATTTTAGGTGAGGTTTCTGTCACTTGTGTAAGAAAGATTTATTTTCTTGAAATGAACACTAATTTTAAAATATTTACAATTGCAGTACTTGTTTAATTAGCCTCATCATGGTGTTGTTCCATTTGAAGTCACCCCAAAATTAAAAATGCATATTTCTCCTCTCACCTGTAGTACTAAGTTTTTGTGCATATAGTTCAAGTATAAGTTGCAGGGTGTTGGAGAAAGCCTCCTAGATGGTACTCGGGTCTAAAACGCTACATTTGAAAATCTCAACAGTAATGTCTCTCTCTAGAAATCATGGCTGGTCTCTCAGGATCATTCTCAGACCTTGTAGGAATTATTTTCTATTTCACAAAACTATACCCACCATCCCAGAGAGGATGTTCTTTTGAAGAAATAAAATACTTCCTTCATAAAACTCTTCTAACATGGGCTGTGGATTATCTTGAGTAACAGATTTGGGATGGCTGTGAAGAGACATTGCTCTTGAGTTTCTTAAATGTATAATTTAGGCGTTTTTTTCAATGTAGGCCGAGTGCCATCTTGTTCCATTTTTACTGAAGAAGGCAGACATCTCTACAGCTTAAACCCCAACATTTGGCAACCTACAGAAAAACTATTGATATATAGTACTACTGGTATAGAGGAGAAGTGAGTGATATTGATTTTGGGGCGAACTATCCCGTTAATTTAAACCTACGTTGGTCACCAGGATCTTGGTTGAATGTACATTTCTCCCTGCACTACCCTCCATGTGACAGTTCAGAGACATCAGCAGAGTGGAGACCATGAGTAATATTTCATTTATATGATCCTCAGTTCTGTACATTCGATCGCTCCCCTCTGACAGTTTTGTGCCTTTCTGTTGTGCACCTCTGAGTTTCTTGCTTAAAGCTTGTCTCCACCTGATGAGGATTGTGATATGATGAGCTTGTTCAACACAAGGGGGGGGGGGGAATCAAATAAAGTTTTGTTCTTGTTTTGTATCACTGTCGTTCTTTTCTCCTTGTAGTGTGTAGTCGCTGTAGAGGAAGCTGCTGAGTCTTGTGACTGAGCTGAACTCAAAGGTTAATGGTTGTAAACATTCATACTGCTGAAGGACACAATGTCCGTTCAACTTTGATCAACAATGTGATTGTTTGTACAACCTAAAGCTTGACTCACTGGCAATCAGGGGGTTATGCAGGTTAACACAAAGAGGTCACACCAGTTGATTTGGTAAATAGTAAACGGACTGCTTTTTATATATAGCGCTTTATCCAGTTTTTATGACTCATAAAAACGCTTTACATAAACAAGGCATCATTCATGCAGAGGAAGAGGCCACCATACATGGGGTCATTTGGTCAAGGAAGCTCACACACAAACACCCCACCTTGTGATTTGTGGACATTGGCTTTACTTAAATAGTTTGGTGTCCCTCAGACCTCACTGTTGTAAATTCTAAGAAATAAAAATAAATTCCTGAAATATCTAAAACCTATGTAAATAATGTCCTACTTTTATATTGTGTTAACTGTAATTTCGCCCTCTAATAGTGTTTTATTTGGCAGATAGTTTAAAAATGTTTACATTACGGTCAACTTTTATATTTTCAGTCTTTTAGTTCTGTTTTATTTTCTATTTTGAGATGTTTATAGTGTAGGCTATACTTGTTTATTTTCTACTCTTTTTTTATTTCTAATTATGTGCAATACTTTGTTTTACGTGCTGCTGCAACGAAAACGTTCAATATAAAGAATATCTTATCTAAAAAAATAAAGGTTTTCAGGGGAATTAACACGTTTGTCTGCAAAAGAGCAGGCCCAGTTTGCGGCAACGCTGAGAAAATACTCACATGGCCACTTTGGAATAAACTATCTCCAAAATTGTTGAATTAATTTAGGCAAATTAGTCTAAAATAGTCATGTTCGCCCTGATGACCTTGGTTTTACCCTGAATTGCTATGATTAACTTTAACACATGTATGGTTTTGAGCGAGATGTCTATACAACTCAACCCGGTATCACGGCAAGACGTGAACATGTGACGATTTACCAAGCTGGGACCTGGGACACGTGAAGATGTCATGATTTCGTCCCTTCAAACGTGACGGTTACACGGTATTGTTAACCCATGTTAACCAGTGGATAAATAACCGGAAATGCCAAGCAAATGCTACCCCGACGTAATGATTTATTTTTTAATAGTCACACTCGATTACGCCAATGTTCTTGTTTCCCCAGCTAGTCGACACCTCTTTTAGCAGAAACAAAGGCTACATTAATGTATTAAATCGATGTTAATCCATGCGTGTGGATGTGGAATTAACGGACGTGACGTTGTGCGATTGAGTCGCCAGCAGGTTGCCAGGCAACAGCTTCGGTTCATGTTAATTTACAAACTCTTCAACTACAACCGTAGTTATATTTAAAAACACGTTAGAAGGCCTAACAAAAATACTTTAATGCAAATTCAAATGTAAATGTGAAGGAATGTGTGTATAACAAAATACATCGGTGATAAACGAAACCGGAAACTGGCGTAGGCAAGATCCTCAGCTCGATGATTGGATGGTTTAGCTGCAATGCATGCTGGGATTTGGTGTTTATGTGATGTGAAATCTGAAAACGTTTTTTCAAAATAAAATAATACTTTATTCCGAGTGTGCTTGCTTTTCTCTTTGAAATTCATCNACTAACGGACATAAGGAGCTGTTTCCACAACAAGCTGGAGGAGAGTCCTCTCCTGTCAGACTGAGGGGCTCAGGTGAGCTAAAGGACTCTTGAGTGTTTAGAACGGTTTTGTCACAAATTATTCAAAAGATTATTTCCGCGGCACACCTTCATATGATCATTATAGTTATACAAACAATAAGAGAATAAATGAAAAACAGGTATGAAATAGCCTACTATATGGCAGTAAAACAAGAATACAGTTTGAAAGGGGAGTGATTTGTAAAATATCCATAAAGAAAAAGAAAACCTGTTTACAGTTCTGTTTCATATGGGTGCTGAGAGAGGTATCCATAGATCTCTTCATGTTGCTCTCAATCAAAGTGCACCAGATTGATGCTTTCAACTTCAATATTTAAAAAAAAATCTTCCCGGGGGAGCATCCCCCCGGACCCCCCTTGAGGAGGTGAGGTCCGCCCCCCAATAGCACTTTACCCCTGCCTATATGCCGTGTACTGATTATGGAGCCTTCATTGGAAGAGTAATTCAGATAAAATTAGCCTATATAAAAGGCCTCAAATTGGAAGCATTGTCTGGGCCGTCTTTTCCAGTCAATTCTGCAATTGGTA